GTACTTCAAGTCCTGTGCAAAAACGCATGATCGCACGGGCCCGCCCGGTGCGTTCCAGCCTAGGTTCATTTTTTCAAAAAGCGAATATTTGCCTGAAAAACGACCGGGCTTCGTGCAAAAAACTGGTAATCACTTACCTGGTGGTCCGTGCCGCTCTGTATTGTACCACCTTCATCCCAACCGGCGCCCTTACTCCTGCATGCCGGTAGGGGCCAAAACACAACCAATATGAGCCCAAAAGATAAGCTACAGCGCACGGATCATTTCTGCTATTAGGGACCTGCGAGTTTAGTACAAAAACGCATGATCGCACCGACAAGCCTGGTTCATTCCAGTCTGGGTTTTACTTGCACAAGATGCAACTCAGGTTGAAACGCATCAGGCTTGCCGCTGCGATCATGCGTTTTTGCACCAAACTTAAAGCACTCAAGTCATTAAGTGCGTGAATGGTTGTTGTTTTCGCTTACCTTGTGCGCTCACTAGCGTAAATCACTATAAATCTTGCATAAAATAAATGAACGATTTCTGTTTTTTTAACGGCCGGTCTTTGAAAGTAACCTAGCTATTCAGCGAACAGTTTTCCCGCCAAAACTTTTAAGTGCCCGTATGTGAGGACTACGTATACCTGGAAGGCTGAATTTGGAATATTTAAGTTGTATTTGGGCAGGGGACGTTCCTCTAAAATTTCAGCTTTCTAGCCTTTCTGGTTCCCAATTTAGTAATTCCTCCCCATTCCACCCCTCCCCCCCCCTCCTCCCTCCAAAACTTTCACATGCCCGTACATGGATACCCCGAGTACTTGAAAAGCTGGATTTGAGATCTTTAAATTGCACGTGAACAAGGGACATCCTCCTGAAATTCCAGCCTTCCAGCTTTTCTGGTTAACAAGTTAGCAATTTTCCCGCCAAATTCTCCACGTGCCCATACGTGAGAACCACGCAAATCTGAAGGCTGGATTTGAAATATTTAAGTTGTACTTGGACAAGGAACATTGCCCTAAAATTTCAGCTTTCTAGCTATTCTGATTCCCAAGTTAGTAATTTTCCCACCAAAACTTTCATAAGTCCTTGCGTGAGTACCACGCATACCCGGAGACTGAATTTGAAATCTTTAGCTCACAGTTGCACAGAGAATATCATTACAAATTTTCAGCCCCTTACTTCGCTTGATTCCCGAGTTCGCTTTCCCGCCAAAAAATTTGCATATTTTTTTAAGACGTCCATACGCAGCACTCAAACGTAGGTGGAAGATGATATTAAAACGGTGGGTCGCGTGTGGTTTGAGCGCATGCTCCTAAAGTTTCAGTCTTCTGGCTTTTCTGGTTTTCGAGTTGAAAGTGGGTGACAAAAAGTGCGAACACACAAACACAGACATACACACACAACCTCTTGCCAGTATGCATTTTTGCAATTTTCATATATGCAAAAAACGCATAAAAATCATTGACTATATAAAAACAACGGCACGTTTTGCCTATGAGCTAGCAATAGCCTAGTGCGAAGTTTAAAAGTGCGCTACTTGATGAATGTTGTTGTACATTATGTGCCTAAATTATTCGTGCGCAAACATGATCACACTAGATTCCTTAGTGTATGCCATTGTTTCATTTTCGCAGGAAACCAAAAGTGAATAAAATGCTGCTGTTTAAAACTCTCACCTATGCAATTGCGCGGTCCTGCTGAAAATGGCAAGAAAGCAAATGGGTCTCGTTTTGCCATATTTTCTGGTGAAAAATGCTCCGGATCAAATACCTCTGGATTGTCCCATTGCTATAAAAGTACAATATCAGTATGTTCATAAAAAGGGTTGCCAATAGCATTGTCGAAATTTGACCCATCTCGAGAAGGGCCTATCCTTTTTTTTTATTGCCACTTATTTTCCAATTAATGTCAAAATTAAGCTTTTTTCGGCTTATAGTTTAAATTTTCTTTTTTTAGCGTTTGGCCAAAATGTTTCTTTCTTTTAAAAGTTCATCATTCCTCAACTCATAGTACATTCTTTTTTTTTTCATTCAAACCGGACTACCTTCCTCACTTTGTGCAAACAAAAAAGGACTGTAATTTCCTTTTTTTTGCTTCATTCTGTTTGATGCACTGCTGAAATGTATGTCTAAAAAGTGCGCCAGTAGGACAGAGACAAAAAAATTAATACAAGTACATGATCGTATAAAACTGAATATGTGCGTCACTTTTTTAATTTTTTGCAAAAAACACTGCAAAATCTAAAGCAAACCTCAGGATCACGTGCTACTGCAAACGGTGACACGGCAACAGTAACGCCCGCTGGTATTATATGACCACCTGAAGCGATTTTAATTTACAGGATACTAAACTTTCTCGGAATACTACTGGCAAAGAAAGTTTAGAACTTCCAACTCTGATCTAGTCCATATCGCATCCTTTGCGAAATGATCAGTATAATTTACAGTGCTTGCACAATAATTACGATAAATGTAATAAAAATACATAGCGGTATCCACCAGCGTAACGGGTGCGATAACGCATTTTGTGCCGTTTCATCCAGCGGACTTTGACTGCTAAGGATTTTCACTATTTTACACTTTGGTCTGTGCGAAAATAATCGATACGCTGATTGGTTTCTAAGCTGCGAAATTCCTCACTAAAAATTTTGCGCACCGGTACACAAAACGTGAAGGCGCGTGAAAGCCAAATTTGAAACCTCGAACGGTGAGCATCTCTTCAAAACTTCAACCGCCTGATTCCCTAACTTCCCTATGACTTTCACGTCAAAACTTTCGGGGGGCCGTACATGGTACCAGCGGGTACCATGTACGCTGAATTTAAATTTGTGGGGTCATACATGAGCAAACGACATTGCCCTGAAATCTCAGCTTCCTAACTTTAGTGGTTCCCGATTTGAAAGTGCATGATAAAATGCACTCGGATATACACATACAAATACGTATAGACAGGGGAGTAACAAAATGAGTTTTATGTAAAAAGCATAATAAATGAGAAGCAGTCCCTGAGCTTGTATGATTTTGTGTTTCTGCAAGAAGCGACAGCAAGCTTGGACTTAGCGGATATGACAAAATTGTAAGAATTAATTTTGCCAAGTCACAATAGTTTTTTGACTCACTTCCCTCATGAAGGCACAAAAAGTTTAGATTTCTAGCTCAGTTCATTCTGTATTATGATGTAACGCTGTCTTAAACGGGAGTGTATAGATTAGGACATTGATGTGCTTAAAATATGAATTCAGTTCACCTGGCTTTCATGAACTGAGCCCGAAAACTTCATATTAACAGGGTGCCTCATTTTAAAATCATAAAACTAACTTAGTCTTGGGAGTAAAGTCACATGTCAAGCTGCAGTAAAATTTAAGAGTTGATCTGGGATCTATACGATGAATTAAGCCATGAAAATTTCAATTTCGTAACTACGCTCCCTGCAATTTGCTTGGATTTGAGCCTATGATTGCGAGCAAGGTCCCTATTCAAAAAAATCAAACCTATTCGTATTTTAAGCCAAACTTTCAAAAAAGTGATAACCCAGGAGACGATGCTTTAATCTTGCAGGTGCAATAATGCGTTTTTGTGCTAACTTGAATCAGTCAAGTTGTTAACAGTATGAGTGGCAGCTACGCTACAGTACTCGTGTTGTTTGCGTTATGGCCTTTTTTTGCATGTGCAGGGAAAAACTTCGGCTGGGACGGTAGTGCTACACTGCGGAGCAACATGAAATCTTAACCTTCAGCATGCATGATTCCTGTAAATTTATTCGATGACTGGTCGCTGAACGAAAACCCAGGCTGGAACGCACCAGGCGAGCCGGTGCGATTATGCGTTTTTGCACTTCTCGTGCCGT